ATCGCGGCTGCCACAACAGCAGTAATAGCCGCTTGGAACATAACGGGATCGAACTGAGGGGGCGGTGGTGGTGGTGGAGCGTCGTCATTCCTTCTGTTAGGTCTTTTTCGGGGAGGCATCTTGTTCTAGAAACAATCAGGAAGAAGAGGATGGTAGGTCCTCTGGAATCGAATCAAGAGATATAAAGCATGATGCATCTCAATATGATGGTTAGAGTGTTCTACTAAGCGATAAGCAAAGAAAGGTTACTGATACAAGTAAATTATCGCTAAGAGGAATGAGTAGCAACACTTGGAATGAATTTCTACGAAGTATTCGGCTCTGACTAAAATACTCCTATAGTATTTTAAGTTATATGGATGCGGGGTAAGTTTTAGGGCTGTTGCAACACCAAAGTCACTCCCAAGCACATGTAGGTCATGTCTCGAATAAATATAGTTGATCAGGCTATATTGACCCTAGACGTGATTACATAACTGCCCAGGTTTAACCGCAGTGTTCAACATCCAAAATACTTTTGTTTTGTTCTACTTATGGCACGGTTCCTGGAATACGGGTACACTTGTATACTTTTTGTAAAAATACTTATATTTTAAAAGTATACTTTTAGTTTAGAGCACTTAGGCCCCTTAGTGTTTATAGTTGTATACCATGTAAGGTTCGGTATACTTAGTTCACTATAAACAATAGCCCTGATACCAATCTGTCGCACCCCGAAACCGATGGCGGAAACGTTCAGGGGCGGAGGACGTCATGCGTAGTATCACAACAGTTGTATCATAGTAAGCATAGTAAACACAACCATTACATTATAATATATATGAATATTTACATTGTTCAAAAACATGATTTATACATAACAGTATATAACAAAAGTAAAAGACGTGAATCCGAAACGCTCCGTCTTCTCAAAAATTCGGCAGGAGTACCTGTTTATTAATGCCCTGAGAATACAAGCAGTTTTAAAGAATATCAGCATAAAGCTGGTGAGTTCATAAGCGTTTAGTTCTGGTGAAAGAAATGTTTCTTTGATCATTTGAAAAGTATTTACCAAGAAAATCCCATATTTTCTTATGAAAGATGTTTGATTATCCATTTGTTATTTGTTTAACAGCCTGTTTATGTAAGGTTGAATTATCCCAGGAAAAACCCTATATTTTTCCTTAAAAGTTGGTGGTTAGTTATCCGTTCCTGTACGAGGTGTACAAGTATCTGCCATACTTGTATCGTTAGACGTAGTTTTCTTGAAAAACCCTGTTTGTTCTCTGTGAGATGTATTAGTCTCATTATAGAAATAGAACTAATAAGTAGGTAGTGAACTAGATCCTAAGGGTATTATCAATACCCTCTAGTAATCAAATCGGTTATTACTTTGAGGTTAGTTCACTTGATTCATTATTACCAAAGTAAATCTCTGTTATCTAGGTTGCGAGTTTTATAACCATACAATAGACTAGATATGGCACGTAACGGGGCCACTATCCTTTTATGACTTTATCACCCGTAGACCTGACGGTCCCACTGTAGCTAGCAGCGAGGTGCGGGATAGTCAGTCCCGTATAGATCTATACACAATAGTCACGCTCTCCCTACAAGAGATTATGGTTACAAGGGTAGTTCTACACTCACGAATCCGGTGGAGTGTTACCAAGGACGTGTCTCCAATCCCAAACTAACAAATTTACAAGTAATAATATAGAAAATCTTGTTTTATGTTTTGTATGAATCCTTTGCAAAAAATTACAATTTATGACAAGATTCATAAGTTCCTTGCTTTAGTTTTGAAAGCGGTTTCTACGAGTTGATTTCTTAACCGAGTAGTAAAACGGTTTTCTGTGTTTGAAAGCATACTGAACATGTAATTATTTTAAACAAAATAATATAATTGAGCACAAGTTTCCTTGTACTTTTGCTTGTATTCCCCCCCTGAAAACATGAAATATCGGAAAAAGCGTAGGGGTATGAACTCACAGTTTATCGTAGGATCCGAAAGCACAATTAGTTACGAGTGTTGAGTGTCAACTGAGGTTTCGTACGCGAGTGGATCCTATTAACATGTGATAACACATATACGCATTAGAATTAGAGTGTTTCATGACTAAACATGACGGGGAAACCACCCTAAAGACTTGGAAATGCTTGTCGGGACCCTATATGATCAAATAAGGGATGTGTACGGCCATTTGAGTGAGTGTGCGGCCAGGGTGTGCGGCCAGGCTGTGTGTGCGGTTGCACACAGGAGTGTGCGGCCGTACATAGGGTGTTTGCGGCTGTACACAGGAGTGTGCGGCCGTACACTCCTCATTTGTGCCTGAAATGTCGATTTTGAGGTGTTTTGAGGTGTTTTAGAGCTAATACCAAGTCCAACTAGCAAATGGGGGGCCAAACTCTTCACTTTGGAGAGTTTTAGTGTGTGTGCAGCCACCTTATGAAGGTGTGCGGCCGTACACCTTCAAAGGATGAAGAACACGAAGAACACTATGAGTTTTAGGCTTAGATTCAAGTGTCTTACCACTATAACAAGCTGAAAGATGAAGTGATTCACGTTTTTGAGGCCTTTAGAGTGTTCTTGGGTGTAGTTTTTAGAGAGAGAAAGTAGTGAGAGAAAGCCAAAGGAAAGGAATGAGTGAAGGGGGTCTCCTCCTTTATATATGAGGGGGTGTATGGCTGGAGGGTGGGTGTGCGGCCGCACACCCATGTGTACGGCCGTACACTCCTCCCGAGAGGGTGTATGGCCCGAATGTTGTACTACGACTTGGTATTACTCGACCCAGAACTCAACCTTTGATTATACGAGGCTTAGAAAGTATCATTACACCTTAAAATAGTGTTAAATGATGAAAATTCACGATAACATTAACTAATCTTACAAGTTAAAAGTTTCGGGTTGTCACATAAAAATATGATAAATCACCAGTGAATCTATTAAGTTAAAGTAGATTGTTAAAAGATGATACATTTATACCTTATCTAAAATATGAATATAATTATTAAGAAAAATCACAAGATTATAAGTAGATTGCTATAATAACACAAGTTGATATTACAAGTCACAAAAATGATGATTTTATATGTATAACTTAAACTATCTCATGGAAGCATGGAAAGATATAAAAATGACCAAAAATATTATTCGCGTATAAAACGAAAGTACATTGTCATATTTAAAGTTGTTTGTAAGGAAAAACTATAAGGTTATGATTAATTAGTTATAAGTGGAACTAGTCATAACTAAAAAGTAACATAAAAATCGGTTATATATATATATATATATATATATATATATATATATATATATATAATATATATAATAATATATATATATATAAGATATATATATATATGGTTATAGATATCGTATAGTAGGTTGCATGTTTAGTGAAAGAATGTATTATATGCTCGATAAATATGATAGGGGTTTTCCCGATAAATAATATAGTGTATATATTAATTACTTGTATATTTCAACAATATTATGGAATAAAAATCAAAATACAAAGTATTTAAATACATATATATACGTGACTAAATTGAGTTAATGTATATTTGATCCATAATAGTATAAAAGGGTAGTTGGAAATGAAAACTCTGTGATTATTATGTGAAAGGTCGTTTACCTAAAAATAAATGTCGTACTATTTCGTAGACGGAAATTATATGATATTAAAACTGTGAGTTTTAAGTAAAGTCAAATATGAAATTATTATGATTAATCATATTAATCATGCGACATTAAAATACGACTGATATATAAACTCCAAAAGTTGTGGGCATTACCGAATGTTGTTTCCCTAAACAACAAACGACTATAATATTTTAGTGAAATACTAACAACGAATGTCAGAGCTAGGATATCTACATTCATCGTTAGAACCTACCACATCCGGGTATCCCAATATGAACCATTTTATAGTGTAAGACCGAAACCGTAAAGTTCCTTGGTAAAAACCCTCCCGATTATAATTGTTAATCCGCAGAGAGCGACTAACGATAAGTATAAGCATTATATTAATGACCTTATATGGTTCGACCGCCCGCCTGGGAGTTGCTAGCTACAACTACGTCTAACGAGAAGGATTTTTTTGGCGTTGACGTTAGTACCAATTGAACATTCCCTTGTGTTATCCTAAGGTGAATGGTTCGAGCATGCCATATTAAGGTGTCGATGCAGAGTGTGGTGTCATAGGTTCGGTTATAAATCATTGTATAAATCTGAAAATCCCAATATTGTACGGAAATCGGAACAGCTTCTATACAGGATCCAATTACCCCACGATTCGGTAAAGAATCAAGGAAAGTAAGAGGAGTTTACCTTACTGATACCCCATTGGCTTTCAAAGTAACCATCAGTACGTTTCGATAAAGAATCAAGGAAAGTAAGAGGAGTTTACCTTAATGATACCCCATTGGACTTCAAAGTAACCATTAGTATGATTCGGTTAAGAATCAAGGAAAGTAAGAGGAGTTTACCCTACTGATACCCCGTTGGATTTCAAACTAACCATTAGTATGATTGGGTTAAGAATTAAGGAAAGTAAGAGGAGTTTACCTTACTAATATCCCATAGAGTTCAAAATAACTGATATACAAACCGTTAGTAATAATTAACATATGATAACTTGGGGATCCAAAAATCTATGTAATTATTAATTCTTATACACATCATGTGACAGTTAAATAAAATTCGAACAGGGGAGAAATTGTTATTTTGTTGTCTCCAAAAAAATGAATGAATATTGTCCTTTTATATACGCAACTCTTTCCATACAAATATATATATATATATATAATATATATATATATATATATATATATATAACTACTTTATAATACATACATCTTGATGGGACCACAAATTTTAAGACAAAAGTCTTAAAATACAAGGAGATAGATTTTTGGCCATTGGATTTTAATCTGATGGTTTATATTAAATAGCTGGTGATCCGAGTGAACAAAATTGAACCAATCAGAGACGATTGTTATGACTATAAAACAATGATATGAAAACAACTGCTGGCAAAAACAACTCCATGAACCCTCATCAGTCATCACCACCTCCGACCGCCTCTTCTACCTCCTTCAATACATCAACGCTCCTCTCTCCTTCTTCTGCTGCTTATGATGTTATCAGAAATGCAGATATGAAAAACCCAACATCCAACACTGATCCTCGCTCGTGGTTTAAACTTTCACATATATGTGTTGCTGTAATTACCACATCTCGCTTCCACCTTCATCAGATTTATGCCATATCTGTATAGATTTTGTGAAATTTGTGATTGTATTTATTTTGTAGATCTATGTATGTTATAGAACTGTAAGTGAAATAAAATTTTGTATGTGTTTGTAATTTTTAGATGTGTATTTACTTTGTTTTACATCTTTTAGTGTATGTCAAGATTTATATCAGAAGAAACAAAGTTTGGTTTGCTTGAAAAGTGAAAGTTTTTCATTTTTGCATTTTTCTGGTTTATTGTCAGTATCATCTATTCGGGTTTATCATCCAGAATTTCGTATCGCCCTCCTTTGTTGCATACTCACCAGCACTAACCAAAACTCATCTCCATTAGCTATACTCTTTTCGGTTCAAATATGTGTAGAACTATGTTTTGTTGATGTTAAAATGAGTTTTAGAAGAAAAAGATAAATCTGGGTTTTCTACCATTGCATATGAATTACGAATTTTTGTGTGGCATGACTTATATGTTTGACATCTTAGATCTTTTAGTTTATTTTCATGTTTTTGATCTATCTTATTATTTTGTGTATTTTTTGAAAACTTTTATGTATCTAAATTTTTTTTAAGATCTTAAGCAAAAGTTTTAGATACATCTGATTTATATATCATATTTTATGTAAAAAATAAATATTGTTATAGATTTTAGTTTAAAAGTTTATGTTTGTTTAAGAAAATATATTTTATTGTGTTTTTTGGTCTTTTTATTTGGTTTAAAATGTTTAAACTTGACAGTAGTAAGATGAAAAGGTTTGAACTTGACAATAGTTTATGGGGAAGCGGCGATCGTCTTGAAAATAGTTCATAGGGAAGTGGTGGTGGTATTGAAAAGACAATTATTTATGATAGTAAGTATTTACCACAAATCTTAATTTGATTAGGTATTGTTTTCACGTAATTATTTGTTTTATTATTTTGTAAGTCGATTTTTGGATATATATATATATATATATATATAATATATATATATAATATATATATATATATATATATATATAAAAGTTATACTTAAAAATATTTATTTTTCTATCTACGTTTAATAGAAGTTTGAAGAAACAAGTTTTGTTTTTTATCTTTTTATTTGACGAGGATGAAAGAGAGCAAAGTAACTTCATCTCTTTTTAATATTGATTCAAGTTGCATATGATATTTGATTTAGTTTTCTTATTTTCGTTTACACTTAATACTTGCAATAATTTTTTTGTCATATTAAATAAACAAAAAGATGGTGTGACACATTTGAAATGACTGGCAGCCAAATGAAAAATGATATTTCAAACCGGTTGGATCGGGAACCGGAGAAGGAAGCGGTTCAACTAGCACCGATTTTATGTCTTTTTCTGAACCGGACGGTTTTACAAAAATCTGGTCGAACCGATTAAATTAAAGTGGTTGAACCGATTAAATAAAATAAAACACATCGAAATGAATCATTTTAATAATAAATTTTATTTTCTTTCACATTTATTTAGATTTTTTTGAATAAAAACACATGATAAATATGATAAAGTTTTTTAATGCGTTTGTATTCATCTAAAATTATATTTTGTTTCTTTATTGTACTTTATTTATTTTTGACGTACGTGGATTGATGTAAAACTTATGCTTATATGTTTTTAATGTATTTGGGTTGATCTTCAACTTGTATTTAAATGTATTTTTAATGTTTAAACTTGTGGATGTCTATGTGTATGTAGGAAAATAGAAAAAAAAGATGAAAATTATAAAAATCGATTGAACGGACAGTCGAACCGGAACCGATTAACATACCGGTTCAACTAAAAAACCAATTTTTAAAACATTGGTTTCAACCACAACGACATACTAAAACAAGAACATACTTTCATTTTTAGCCCAAAATATCTAACATATATATTTTTTTAAACCTAAAACAACAACGATTACCAAAAACAAAATTATTCACCAAAAGGAAACTACTTGATTCCCACAAAAAAACAATTGTCACCCGGGAACTAAATTCCAAAACAGAACTAATCGCCCATGACGCATTACATAATTACTTTCATATTTAACCCAAAATAGCAACACATTTTTATATTTAACCGAAAACAACAACATATTTTATTTTTGACTTAAAAACATGGTGCTTTTATATTTAACCCGAAACAACAATGTGTTTTTATTTTTAAACTAAACGAGAAACACAATTTTATTTCTATCTCGAAACAACCTTCTGAAGGAAATCTTATATCCGCTCAAAACTAATCGTTGAAAGAAATTATTTCCCGCCGCAGCATCGCGTGGGTATCCCACTAGTATATATATATATATATATATATATATATATATATATATATATATATATATATATATATATATATATATGGGTGAGGTTCAATAGAGAACTATAATTAACAAGGAATCAAGCAACTAATCGTGAGCATTGGAAATCATAATGATCAACGGCCAAGGAAATAGATGTACACTTGTACATTAGACGCACACACACACACACACACACACACACACACACCGCATTATACCAAAAAATCCAACTCCTTACTGATAGTTCCATTTTATTTACTTCTTTTTATACTTTATTTTAGTATTTTTTTTCATTCATAGTTTAGCTAATTTTCATGCATATTTTCCTTTTTGTTATTTTATGACTATTTCGGGTAATTTCTAGTTTCGTGAGCATAATTGCAGATTTTAAGGAGACTAGTGGAGCGGGATATTTCTAAAGCAATTGGACTTCGAGGAAAACAAGAATTTCGGGCTTGGTGATAATGGAGTTGATGCTTGGAGTGGGCTTGCTTATTAATTGAAGGCTTGGAAGAAATGAACTTTAAATTACAAGATGCGGGAGAATTTTCGAGCGTGTGTAGATTATTAATCGGGCGAGTTTCCGAGCTATGGGTCATTTGGAGAAGCCAAATTGGGCTTAAAATGAAGTGAACTTAAAGAAAAATGGGCTAGAAGCTGTTTGGACTCGAACTGGGCCAAATGGGCTAAGCTGTGGAGGCCCAATATTCAAAGAACCCATGATCTGATACCACCAGCGCAACCCACCCGCGCAAGGCTGCGCGGCCACGCACGACTCAGTAGGGGCAGTTTTAGAATTTCAGTTGGAAGGCTATGTGGGGAAGGTTGGTGTGCATCTTTTGGACAGTCTTGCACATCCGAAAATACAAAAATCCTATGGAGATTTTGGAGCATTTTGAAGGCCAAGAATCCTCAAGAACTTCATCATTTTTGCTCTTAATCTTGTTGAATGTTTGGTACAATCTCTTCTAACTTTGTTTTCTTGTGTCTAGCCATGTTAGGCTAAACCAACTTTGGTTGACTTTGGTGAAATCCTTTGACTAGTTGTTAAATGTTGAAGACTCCATAAACTTGTTCTTGAATTTTTATGGGAATGTTTTGTGTTTTAACATATTATCACTACTTATATGTTTTTATTCATGAGTTTAAATGTGTTTGTGGTGATTAGTTGGCTAATTTCTTGATTAAGTAAAAGATCCTCAAATTAGCAAGCAACAAATGATTTTTGTGTTAGTTTTGCTTCACACGATCATAAAAACATTTTCTCCAACATGGCAGTGAAAGCATTTGACTCCTCTTGGATTTGGTGACTTTTTGGTTCTTAATGCTAGTTGATTTTCACTAATTACATGCTTAATGGAAATTATGACTTTGACTAAGGAAATTGTTATGAACTTCTCTAACCATTTTAATAACTAAGAAAAGTCTAGGTAATCTCAAGCTTCTTGGATTACTATAGCCAAATTAAGGATTTAAAACAAGTATTGCAACATTGGATTCAAAGGATATGTTCATCAAAAAGTCAAAGTGAGAAAACCTTTAGTCAACCATTTTTCCCTTATTGATTTTACATCAAACCCTTGTTTTTGTTGAAATTGTCTATTTAAATCTTAGTTTAATTCTAGTTTATTTCAAGTATTTCGAAAGATCACCCCCCCCCCATTTTTAATTTATTGTCATTTTACAAGTATTTTTACAAAGAGATTCTTATAGAGTTATAAATTTGAGCCAATCTCTGTGGATACGATCCCTTTACCATTATACACTATTTTAGTGTGTAATATTTACGGTATATATTTTATTGGCCTCGACAGCCACCAACTTTTGGCGCCGTTGTCGGGGATTGGTTTATTTTTAATCAAATTGTTTCTCTATGCCCAGATCTCAACGTACAGGTGCTTTGATTTATAATCCGGAAATTGAAAAAGAAGCAAGGCGTTTGGCGAAGGAAAAAAGAATAGAACGTGGTCAAACTTCAAATCGTCACGGGGATCCGGTGGTTGAAACCACTTCATCAAGTGATACGGACCCCGATTCTAGCCCCGACCATCGTCAAGAAATTCCCGAAACACCACCCCTACAACAAAATCCACCAATCATAAACCCAATTGCAATGGGGGACGGAGGAGAAGCTCCTGAAAGAACCTTGAGGCAAATGATGGAAACTGATGTTACACAAACTCCAACCGGTATCAATTACCCCGTTTTGGAAGGAGGTTCGGAATTGAAGTCAAGTTTAGTTCATCACCTTCCAACTTTTCATGGATTGGAGAATGAAGACCCTCATAAGCACTTGAAGATGTTCCATGTTATTTGCACTAGTATGAAGCCACAGGGGTCAACCGATGACCGAATCAAATTAAGGGCATTCCCCTTTTCAATGGCCGATAGAGCAAATGATTGGTTATTCTATCTTCCCCCAGGGTCAGTCAACTCATGGACCGACATGGAAAGGGCTTTTCTTGACAAGTTTTATCCCGCTTCAAGAGTCTCAAGTCTTATAAATGAGATTTGTGGAATCCACCAAGGTCAAAATGAGACTTTTCATAAGTATTGGGAAAGGTTCAACAACTTATGCTATAGTTGTCCACAACATCAAATTCCGGAGCAACTCCGCATTCAACACTTTTATGAGGGATTGTTGCCAATGGAGAGAAGACTAGTTGATGCCTCAAGTGGTAGAGATGTTTTTAGAAAAACTCCACAACAAACAAGACAACTCTTCAACACAATAGCCGC